TACATATATATATATATATATATGTATATATATATATATGTATATATAACAGGATATTCACTATTTAAAGCATATCCAGAATGCAGTAACTTGATGGTGTGCGATTTAGAGTTTCGCCGGATTCCTCCGCAAATTTTTTCAATCTGCTTTCTTCACCGCATCCGGAATTCGTTAGAGTACAGCTGGTTACGAAGCGACGCATCTACCGAAATGTCCACCTGAACTGTCGTTCAGGAATACTGGATGCATTTATATCCAATTCTCATGGTTCTATGAAAAGGTTTTATGAGCAGACAGCCTCACCAGTACTACACCTAAGCCAATATGACACATTTTACTATCGTATCATTAGTAGTGTTATTCTCGTCCCATCATAAGGAGATCATTATGGTGATTAGTATTTAATGGGAATAGGAGCAAGGATATATGAGCCGTGTTGACGAACTTCATTTCTGTGGGCTATTCGTCAAGTAGAACTTCCCTACCCTCATCCATGTGGAATTCGCAGCCGTGTCACCAACACACACAAATGTGGAATGTGAAATGTGGAATCATATTTTATCCATAATCCAGGCTTCGAATTTTCCATCTTGATGTCCTGTTAGGTATAGCTTCAAACGGCCGTCGCAACGTCATACAGATGATGAAATTTTGAGGTCATTCTCGGTGTAACGCCACTTGATGGTCTACATGTATGTATGCCAATAGAACGGATGTGTCAGACTACTTGAGGACTGGAACGCTAGCGAAATGCCTTGGAATATAGCATTGATCAGGGATCGCTGTACTAGTTCATAACAAGTCCTGGTCCTGGATTCAGACATAAAACAGGCGATCGCGTGTGAGCATGAGGACATGTGTAAATGAATATTGTGACATTCACCGTGCATTGGACGCGATGGCCCATTCGGTTCATTGACGCAAAACGACCCTGTCCTTCTTCTATGTGGTAGGGTTAACAGCCACAATACGAAGGCGATAGATTTGATGCAAGCCCGCAGTTGGTTGCACGAGACTGCCAAGTATGTCAGGGTAATTTATCGTTGGTTTGTCACGTCAGGCGATCCGCTCCCGTAAGACGATATTCCACAGCGTGACTCAGTTGACTGGAAATTTATACACAGTGAATTTCCAAATCATGGCTGATAGCCATCAAATCGAGTTTGATTCACGAACTTGGACAAATCAGCATAGAACAACGTGGCCTTGAAAATCAAGCTGACGCGAGGTTAGTGAGCAGATGAATGAACCGTTGTGTTCAACCGTAAGCATGAGTGTTGGGTTGGATTGATTGCACGTAACATTAAAGCAGCACTCTACACACAGCGGGTGCAAGGCATTCCGTTATGCGCAGCAGAAGTATTCCGTTTATTTCAGATGGTCTCCATTTCTAGAAAACCTGATTCCAGAAGAGCTGCTTGGTCGGGGACAGAATTCGGCCGGTAGGAATATCCTCTTGGGACATCTATGCGACGGACATGACTCGCTTAGTTACACTACTTGCAGTGTTAGTGGGGAGTACTTAGGCCTCCGTCGGAATTTGAACTCATTTCTGATGATTATCGAATTTTGACTTCATGTTCAGCCGCAGTGTACTCGATATTGCAACTATTTTTTTCCCGATTATTTGAACAATATCAGGCATTTTACGCACTCGGAAATCATCATTCTGTCGGTTGTAGGCGATAAGTGAGCAACATGAAGAGATTTGCATTAATATGTGATCCTCTTCAACTACACATCCGGTCAAATCAGGAATATTGCGATCGGGCGACAGAGTGCACCAAGCGGTTTGGCCACGACAATTCTACTTCTCAGTGCTGGTGATGCGTTCTTGGTGATACATTGAATGAACGAACAAAGACTAGGATATTTATGCATCCATTCCTAGCTCGTGTAAAACGCTTCTTCAAAAACAGTAAATGCATTTAACGACATACACAAAGACTTACATGAACAAGATATCTGCAACTTCGAAAATGATTAGTTCGAATTAGGGACATTCTGATGGTCTTCTCTGGGTAGGTTGGTTAGTTGAGCCACAGGCATTTAAAAGCAGATGCCAGAGTAAACAAAGAGTTGCAGCAAATATTACCCGGATGAACTAGCAACGACTCAGTCTATGGTAGTATCGCATTTTGATCAAACGAACGCAACTACCGAGTATTAAACACCAAACAACAGTTGGTTTGCCACACGGTGCCTTCATCTTGTAATAATCATGCGTTTGCCCTAGGCCGATGTTAGACTGACTTAATCCAAATGCAATTGCCGATATATTCTCAATGGTACAAATGAATTTCTTCACTTGAATTAAAATGTGTGTTTGGTAAGATAAAGCATGTTTCGATGTAGAATATTCCAGTCATTTGAGGTGTTCAACTAAATTTGGGATGCTCACTTTTCTTAAGTTGGTCCAATAGGATGAACCATTCATCATAAAGCCCATTCATCTAGGTTCAGAATAATGGATGTTGGAATAGATGGTCGACACGTAAAATAGCTCTGAATCTAAGAGGAGTTCTAATGATTGATGACTCAAGCGAAAGTAATCACGATATGTAGGAATCAAATTGTGGAATTTTATGAACCACTGACGTAAATCGACTTCGTCCTGTCCAGAAGTTGACTCAAGCGAAAGTAATCACGATATGTAGGAATCAAATTGTGGAATTTTATGAACCAATGACGTAAATCGAATTCGTCCTGTGCAGAGTTCGCCACGCAATTGAAAGCTTAGATTTCGTCACCATTTTTCTCATTCAATATTTGGTGAGGTAACATATGGTATCGAATTTGCGTAAACAGATAGTTGGGGTCCAACTATAAACTCCAAGCAATAATCATGATAGAATCATCATCAAGTATCTAAGTGAGACACGCTCTATCTCTCGTTGCACACAACAGCGTGAAAATGAAGTCCAGCGATTTTGGCGATTTGACGAAGGTTAGAGGAATCCTCGATGAATGTCAACAAAATATTTTGTTATACAAAATAATCGAGAATTCAGGTAAAACCATTTCATTCTGATTGAGAATCATCCGGAGTGCGCAACCCAAAAGAATCCATTAGCTATTTCGAATCCGCCACCTCGTGTTGGTAAAAGAGGTCCTCAGTCGTTGGGCCATAGCGGTTGTTCAACACTGTGATTAAGTGGTCCTTGGACAGGACCTCGTTCATTCTCCAGTAGCCGGGCCAATATTACTTACTCACACTCATCGACCAGCCACCCGAGTAATGATTCCTGAGCTGATTATTTCACTCATCAAGTGCATTTCATTCTAAAATCTTCTTGCGGAATTATTGGAAAAGGGTTTTTTATGCGGGCGAATTTAAGCTCTTCTCAACCTAATACAACTGCTCCTGAGTGTGCTCAATACTAAGCCTCTTCAAGGTGTTTGGCAGCTAGTCAGTTGGATTTGAAATGCTTCAGCTGAAGCATCCATATCACAAGTACAATAGTGGAGAGTCAGGCCACTGCGTATATGGCATATTTGGTGCACATCATTTGTGATACACAACCACAACTTTTGTCCTTGCTAACAGCCACAATGTGACTGATTTACAAAATGAAACAAGGGACATCCTCAAACTCGCATGGAAATTCACGTACCCCATACCCCAAATCTCACCCAAACGCACATCAACAAAAGAGAATCCCTATCAGATATCGCACCCGTTTTTAAAGAAACTCGGTCGTGTTCCGTTTGTGCACACGTAAATATGGGTAACTTACAAAATGTGTTAGCTATTCGGATACGCTGATTTGCGGTCACGTTGCTCGATATTAATGGAGAATTCTTCAGATGCACACAATATGAACGCTTATTGTGAATTCATATTTGTTAGGCTGCGCTTTCGCGCTTGCAACTCGTTTTTCCACCGTAAGGTTTAGACATTCGTTCGCCACTTTTATTTATCTATTATGTTCAGTTGTCGTAACTTGGATTGGATTATGCGTAGATTTTCACGAACTCGGATGTGGAAACAGAGTATACCGTATTTCACTGGACGACAATGATCCTCTAACAACTTCCGTTGACTTACATCCTGAGGGAGTTTTCCGGCTGTATATCATGTAACAAAATTTTATTCGAGAAATTGTCGCATTTGCTCGATCACATCACCAGTCTCTAATGCAGATTCAAAGAAAGGGGAGAATGTTGAATGACAGTGAAACTAGAGAATGGCAGACCACAACGCAATGCGAATCAAAGCCAGAAAGAACAATCTAATAACATTAGAAGCCGTTGGGATAACCAATCAACACAAAGGAACACAGACGACAACGCAACGATGATCACAAACGGACCGATAGATTCACTAATTTCGTTACACTTCAAGTAGCCAATCACGTCAGAAGATAACAGGTAGTCTTGGACTGCTATATAAACACGCAGGCAAGGAAGAAGTACCCACCCAACTGCGCACTGGTGATGTCTCCACGTATGGTGACCAAACGTTTGCAAGTCGATTGCCAAGCTCGGCGAACAGATCAACAGCCACCTGATCAACAACCAATAAACTTACCCGAGCTACCAATATTTCACCACATTACCAGTTGGGATCCATCTAAGTAGTTCCCTAAGGCTTTGAAGCCTCCTGTTCATTCACTCGTTCAAGAGAACTTGTGTGTTGTTTCGAACTTCTCAGGTGTGCGCTTCTAAGAAATATGTTTACAATAATCTTGCAAGAGATCTAACAAAGTTGAATAGGTGCGATTAGAAGCTCAGAAGAATAGATTAGAAAGGCTCAACTCACCGACTTTGGTTCCAAAATAATGAACTGGAACTATTGAGTTGGTACTTGAAAATGAGGGTAGAAGTGGGTTTAAGGTGTAGAATGAAGGACACTCACAAGCACTTAATCAAGTATGTGTCAGCCGTTTTTGCAAAGTCCTCTCCGCGTCAGGTTGTGGAATATGTTTTCGAGTTATGCACCACGCACAAAACTGCCACAAGTGTTCCTTTATGACAATTAGGATAGCTGATTTTTTGGTGCAATGAAAATATCCGCAATGAATTCTATGGCCGGGTTTTGAAACCTCACTGATATGGCAATGGACAGCCAGTTGATGCATCTAACTGCAAACGTCTTATTGGAGTGATTACAAGACAGCTTCTTGATTTTATCAATAACCGTAGACGAACGATATTTGAAAGTCATTTCGGTTTTTGACAACCAGTACCCACTGTAAGAACCCACACATCTACATAAAACGTTTACGTCAAAATTTTTGGCGTCTCGTAATCAATAATCTTGTAGGATCCTCGGCTATTTTAGTTTTTCTTACCCGTTAGACGGAACTCTGGCTTCAAACGGCCACTCAGGGGAAAATATCGATTTTCGCAGCCGGTCAAGGCCGAATCGAAAGCTCAATTAATTCACAAGAGGGAAAGTTTCATTCAGGCTTCACTTTAGGGGGCATCATCTGACTCAATTCTCACTTCAAATAGTTCATGTTGAAAGCCATCCCAGGCAGCAGTCTGTAATCAACGAGACTAATTAACCAGAAATCTGAGAAGAATCTCTTCTGATCGCACACTGTGTATCAGCTTACATGCAAACCACTGCGAAATATACATTGACAGAACGAATAAGATGTTTGGTGATTGTCCATCGAAATAATTGTCTCACTAGTTGGGTCACCAGACTATTCGACTGACCGATGATCTGAAAGCTGAGACCAAGTCGACTGCCTCGTCGATCACGTGACGCATCTCAAACACTGTTACTCCTAATGATGTTTTACGACTTTAACTCCAGTTTGTCACACCCTCTCGTTATATTTCAGCTGGGTTATTTTGAGTAATCAATTCGAACCCGTGTTCTGAACACAACAGACGTTCATACGAGGTGCATAACTGACATCGTGAGTGGCGCACGATAAGGGAGGTGCCCGATTGGTTGCTGTCTGAATTATCCTGAGTTGACCAGTGTCGATGAATTGCAACTAGTTTAAATCAACTGTCCACTTCTTCTTGGTATATCAGCAAAGAGTGACTTCTGTCAAGAAAACGATTCCTTTCAAGTTATAAGCATTCCACCACACTTCAGCAATAGTTATGTTGCTCGGAAAAAGACTGAACTTCACGCAAAGAGTAAAAACTGCATCAGAGAAATCGTTACTTAGGGAAATAATTATGCAGTTTTGGTCGTGTGACTTATGGCTAAACGGCGCCATATCCTTCCTAGGGCCTACGTACTTAGACTGCTGGTTGGTTGGTGGTGGCCCAGTGGTTGAGTGTTCGAACTACCAGCCAGGAGCTGGCGTTTCGAAACTTTAGTGGGGTTTTATGAGGCGTGCGCTGCTGATGAGACCCAATCAGGTTAAAGCAGCTGCGCACTGCTTTTCGGCTTCCAGGCACAGACTGGATTTCCTAGTCGTCGCTTTCTAGCTCTACCGAAATAATGAGTGTTAGAGAAAACCACCGCGATTCAAGCCAACCGTCTTCATATGCAATTTAGATACAAGGTGATACCTGAGCAAATTTCGAAAAAATACCAGTTTTGGTTTGCCAAACATGATAAATAACACGATGGGTTGCCTCTGCACAGAATGTCATTTTACGTCATCAGTGCAATTCATCGTAATTTATCTGGTTTAAACTATCAATCAGTGGAAATTTTTCAAAATCAGCACTCTCTTTACGTCATTTCCCCCTCCTATTCCTGATGTACGTTGTTATATATGACGCGGATGTCTGAGAATTCCATTGTTTGAAACAACTAGAAACACTGGGTTTGCATGATGGATGATCCATTGTATTGTTTCAACCGAGAAAAGCAAACAACCCACTTCAAGGTGAACGTCGTCAGATGAATAAAGTGCTTTACACCGAAAAGCGACGTGAAATCAAAAACAGGTAACCCCCGAAAGTGAGGAGAGCTATTTGTAGGCACCACAATAGCTGATCCAATTTGGTACCATGAAGGACAATTACTTATCTTACCCCAAAGTAGTATCTTTCACCGCTGATTGGAACCCATTTTTCTACGATATTTTAAAAGGCTTTCTACTAAATGAAACGACATACTTTTCGTAAGGTAGCAGCTTTTCACATTCCGCGTTGGGTTGATTTCGCTACAAACCTATTGTAAGTTGTTTAAATTGCCATACCTTTGACATGTTATGTAACTATACCCTTCCCTTAAGAAATTTAATATCTAGCACTGGCTACACTCAACGTTCTGTCATGTCGTAAGCATCCAATGCGGTATGGCTTTATTGCTGAAGATGATAACACATTTGACGCATCTTCAGTAAGAGGGGTCGTCTCCTGTGGATCCAACGATGAGGAAAGTTGCTTATAAGTGGTAGAGTTGTTCTGTCAAGTCGTCAAACTGTCAGGATTATTATCCATAGTTTGACATCAGGCTTTAACACTGATGCTTCGCTGCCGTACAGCCACCGTTCAATTTAGAAGCCTTTTTTGAGGAAAATGAGAAACCGTGGGCTGGGATTTTAATTGGTTCTAGGTTATAATAATCATTCCTGGGTGCTAACGCCTCCAGACACTCATTCAGCAAATTGGGACGGAAAATCAAAACAAGAGCACAACTGACACCGATTGGCGTCTCCAACCAGGCACAGTAGAAACTAGACGATCTCCTGGTAGGTGAGTCGCGTCAACATCACCCAGGCTTTTGTTAGCCTCTTTCATACCCTTCTGTCAGGTCAAGGGTTGTCTACCTCCCTTCGATGAATGTGTCCGTTATACAACCTAACCGTCACAAACGAAAGGGATGAGTTTGTTCAGTTCACCCTAAAACACTTACGCCTTCTTCACCTCTTCAAAGACGAAATCAATATCGTCTGCATGTTTCAGATCAACTAGGTTTTCTTCACAGGCCATTTTAACACGGGGTTTTAAAGACATTCGAGCGTTCGTCTTTTCAGCTCAGTGATGACAAAAGTAAATTGGAATGGAGAGAGTAAGCACACCTGACGGACACCGCCTTGTTTAGGGAGACTTTTGGAGAACCCTCTGTATACATTCACAGGTCCGGATGTCTGAGACTGAAAAGAACGTACACTTTTCACAAACGTCCGGAGCATTCCTTGCTGTGTAAGTGTTTTAAACTAAGCATGCAGGTCAGCTGAGTCGAATACGTCATGGTGATCTGGGTGTACTAAAATTGTGGGTCGTTTGTACGTATGGCGTTGTTATAGCACCTGATGGAGTGTCAACACAACCATTACGAGTCCAGGATCTCTTACTGCTCCCGAGTCGGTGCCTCAAGAGCCACAAGTGACGCTGACAACACACATTGGCTACCAAACTCATTACGAGACCCTTTCCTGAAACAATCCACTCTCGCCAACTCTCCCTAGTTCTGAGACAGCCTCATTTTCCAAACTGCGGGAGAACAGATCAGGTAGCGACGACCTAGGACTTCAACACGATAATTGGGCAATGCGGATGGGATATCATCCTGACAAAGAGCTCGGTGGCGCTTGAGAGAACATATGCAGCAATAAACACAAAGACAGTAGATGTTTATACCGCTCATCGGGCGGGATTTTACGTGAGACATAGACTCCAGCGGAGTGGCACGTGATGTCAGGGTGACTGTTGTTCGAAGCATTTGGCCCAACTACTCAGGCCTTGTCGTCTATTCAAGATGGACGCTCTATCCAGATCCTTGTAATTTCGGTCACAGGTAATGTCTGGAACCGGTCTCGCGGATCGCCTCAACTAATCTTTGGGCTTTCACGGCCTCTTCCATTTCCTTACTTTTCAGTTCCACCAAAATTCATGGGCAGCGCGCACGCCCACCTTTTCTTGATGTCTGATAATTTGTTGGGCCAAGTTATGTTCGGGACCGACGGTGATGTCTCAGCATTGCTTTTGTTGATAACGAAAGTTGTTGTGACAGCTCTGTTGGGGTTGCTTTGAACTTTTTGATGGGTTCTGGGGTGGTTTTCGTGTATGCTACTTGTTTGCTTACAACAGGTTGGCCTGGGTCACCACATCGTCGGTGTATTGTCGGTGACACGGTGATTGGCGTTGGATGTAAGAATGGCTGTATACAAGGCTGTCTGAAGAATCTAACATAAGCTAATTAAATCTGTAATCGGTGTCCCTAGCTTATAGATCAGTATCTATCTAAAATTGTT